CATACAACGAATACATATAAGGGCGAGTTCCCCTAATGTTAAATTTCATTGCTTTTCTTTTCACATGCAGTTTGAACATTTCGCGTACAAATGTATGTTTGCATGTTCGTATGGATGTATGTATATGAATAATTTAAAGTACGTAGTATGTATGTATGTATCTATGTATAATAAAAAATATAATAACTTTCAATTTGTATTGCATTACTACTCGCTGGTTGCTAAGCGTTTTATTCACTATCACTGTCACTGTCGGAGGGAGCGGAGAGTAGGCGTTATTATTCGCTCTTTGGCTTTTTAAGTAATTGCTACGTGGCCCCAGTTTCACCGCCACCATTTTCATCCCTATCGTTTTGTTCATCGGAGTTGCCACGTTGTAGCAGCGAACGATTTTCATCGCTAGAACCAGCCGCCTCACCATTGCTCACGGCACCACCGTCACCAGTTTCGCTGCGTATGTTCACGTTGGACGTAAAAGTGGTTTCCGAGTCTGCGGGAAGTAGGATAAATGGCTTTAATAGGTACATATTTAATCAACATTAACATTAAATTTCATAAAGCTAAAAGCATTATGCTGATATACAATATTTACATCAATTGAAACATTTTCAATAGAAAAGAAATTTTGCAAAGTAAATATGTCTACTTGTTTCTTAAAGAAATTCTATTTTATATTAAATAATTTTTGCGCTTCGGATTCTCAGCAAACTTTTCTAACGTCTATGGACGCACATGAGGCCTAGTCCAGAAAGCCTTATTCTCATGTTGTGCTCCTCAGCCAGGTTTTTACTCTACGAATTGTATTAAAGTTTTTTGCTACTTTGAATATTTACCGATTCCTATTAAAGCAATGATGAACATGGGCCTTGTTGCGGCAGCACATAATTGATACACAGACTTTCTTGTGGAATGCAAAAAGAACCAGATTGTGTCCATTTTTTATAAACATACTAGCCGATGCCCGCTTGCTTCGCGGCGCCTAATAAGAGCTGTTGCGTGGGCCAATGCAAAAACAGCGTTTAAAAGAAAAAAACGGTATGTAATGTAAAAAAAATTTTAACGACTAAAGAGCAGAATCCCCCTCATACATAGGCTTTGCCGATGGTCTTATTTCCACCTGTGAAATCTCTGCCAAGCGTGCATAATCTGCTTTGATCTTGCAACTACAACTTAGATACGATGCGTAAGCTAATAAAAGTCCTTATAAGGAAACCTTAGATCACAGGTGAGCGTTTTCTGTTATAGTATTTATGAATTAGTTTCTTTGAGTCTCACTGCTGAAATAACGGCCGCCCTGATCAACTTCGTTAATCGGAGGTAAATGCAAGATCGCATTAAGGGTGTATGAGGGCATCAGACAAAGGTGCGCTTACACAATTTCATTTAGTCATCTGAAAACTAAATTCGTATACAATAAACATAGGGCCAAAGCAGATCAAACACATGTGGTTTCTATATATTACGGCTGCAGCGCCATCCTTGGGTCACTTTTCTGCAAAACCATTGCTTATCAAGAAATTAATACGCATTAAAAATTTCAGCCAGGTTGTTTAAAAAATTAGGATTTTATAAATATCTCGACCAAACAGCTAGTTTATTTTTAGCAAACGAATTCACCATACAGGTGGCTCACATTGCGATTTTGAACGAAATCGGTGAATAAATAAATATACTGATTAGTCCATAGACTGAAGTCTATCTAGTGCTTTTTGACTCTAGTCCGAAGGACTAAGACAGCTACCATTTTATGTATATAGGTATGTATGTAAACAGGACAATCTACATATAACGAAACTTATAAAAATTCAAATTTCAAACTTCAAAAATTTTTCAAGATTTTCACAAAAAATTTTACCCTTTCGCAAAAATCAAAAAGAATATAACCAAGGAATGAAACCGAAACCCAAACCGAAACCGTAACCGTTTAAAACCGTTTCGTTTTACAAAACCGAAACCGTAACCGTTATCTTGACCTGAAAAGGTACGATACCGAAACCATTTCAATCACAGGTTTCAATCGGTTTCCAGAAATTTACAAAAATAATAAATAAAAATTTCTTTGAAATAAATTATTTATTTAACCAAAATCAGCAACATTTTGATAAAATTCTTGTTAAGTAGTAAATAAGTATGGCAAGGTAACTTTTCACAAAAATCTGCTGATGACTTTGTTGTTGTGAATCGATAATCGATTAATTATATTTAAGTAGTTTCTTTCCCGTACGCAATGCGAGATCCCGCGTGTGCCTAAAATAGCCCAGAAATCATGCCTGTACTCAACAAAATGGGTAATAGAGAGCGAAAATTCGAGCGTATTCGATCGTAAGTGTATGCTTCTTCCTTCCCAAAACAGCCCGAAATTTTCTCCGAGTAAAAATGGATAAAGTGTCAAAGTGCATATCAGCTGTATTGTGTTTACATGTTGCCTGCATTTACTTGGTGCTTTTAAGGAAAAGTGAATGGCCTGTTGATGAATTTTCAATCTATGTACTTAAAATCAAATTTGTGAAACCAAAATTCAATTTCCAAGTGTTTGCATTTAATACCATATTCTGACCGACAACCAAAACATTTTTCCTTCATTTTCTTTTCATTTACAACCTTTAACTTTCATTCTTATTTTGCTTTGGCCAGGCAATTAACAATAAATCCGAAATGGCGTATTAAAATGATAAAATATGACTTCCACTTCGATAAATAGTCGAAAAAAACTAGTGAAGACACCGATTGGAATGACTGGAAAGTGAGTTTTCAAGTAGTTTTCAGCGAAAACTGGTTTTCGTTTAACAGATTTTATATGGACGAAAACACAAGTTTTAGGTCGAAACCCAGTTTTAGCAACGAAAACATGTTTCCGAAGTCGGTCAGAACATGGTATAAGTGACAAAAACAAGAACAACGTGAATCAGCTGTTTCTCGACTTGTGGGCACGAAATGTGGGTTTTTGCGTTTCCGTACTTCTGAACTTTGTTCCATTTTTGAAAGAAAATGTTTCTCTTATTCTCTAATTACCAAATCCGGTCCGGATTGTTAGGGAAATAACCTAGTGTTGATATTATCAGTGAATTGTAATTTTCGATTTTCTTTCTGTGAAAAACCGAAACCGAAACCAAAACCGAAATAAATTTTGAAGAACGAAACCAAAACCGAAACCGAAACACTTGGCAAAACCGAAACCCAAACCGGAACGTTATTTTGAATCGGTTTCATTCCTTGCTTTTTTTGTATTCAACGCTTCCAGAAATCACGTAATAAAAATAAATGAAAGCAGTTTTGATTAATATTACATAAACTGGAAACTGTTAAAAATAATCCCGCTTGTGCACACAGATTTTAAAACCTATTTAGTTCCCAAAATGTCTGTTTGCAACAGATAACAATAACAAGTAATTCTTAGCAAAAAAAAACCGACTTCAACTCTCATTAAAAAAAA